TAATCATATACAAATTTAAATTTATTACGAAATAAAGATTATAATTGACTCTGAAGAATATAATAGAATATTCCTCTAGATGCTTGGTGAAGATAACTCACTTATTTGCTATACATATTATAAAATTGGGATAGTTAATTGTGTGTCAACTTGAAAATAAATTCCGAGTAGATTACTTTGACATAGGCTTAGATATGTCTGGGTGAGGCATTTACCCAAGAGGGAAGACCTGCCCTTTGTACATGTGATGCTAACCCATAGGCTTGTAGACTGCATGGAAAAGGAAGGTAAAGAAGTTTTGATTTTGTTCCTTCCCAAGAGCTGATCTCTCCACCCCATTTGGGTATCCATCTCCAGACTCTCCACCCTTCCAGGCCAGATTCTGGCTTTCCAGTGTGGACCAGCCCTTGACTGTGCCCTGAGCTTCAGACCTCATTAAATCTGTTCCTTTAGTGATCCCCAAATGACAAATATCAAGTACGTTTTTCAATTTATTGACTATTTTTTAATTGATTTGAAAATAACTCAATTTCAGAATAATATTTGATAAACAAATGTTGATACATTACTTGCAGTGTTGTTGCAGTAAGCTAACACTTTGGACCAAAGGTGCCCTATATTAATTATTAAATGCCAAATGTTCTCTTCCCTGCCTATCAAGACACAGACTTTTTTCAGTGCCCGCATTTTAACAACTTACACATAGGTGTGTATGTGTGCGCATGTATATGTATGTCCGTAAAACCTAGATAATACTATTTCATTTTAAGAATGGAATCTTATTGAAAACATTTTCCTTGTGGGATAATTTATAAGAAGGTAATAGTCAAATTTATAAGAATTTAATTATAACTTTATATTTCCTTTATATATATATAGTAGGTAATATTTACTATTATATTTTATAATATATGATATAATGTACAATATTTTACATCAGATAGATAGATAGATAGATAGATAGATAGATAGATAGATTTTCTACTAGGAATTGAACTGATGATTTTGTGCTTGCCAGACAGATGTTGTGCCCCTGAGCTATATCCCCTACCCTCCTTTGCTTTTCTTAATAAAATGGATCGCAGTGACTTTATAACTTTTGCCCCTAAAAGAGTAAAAGCAACAACAAATGTTCAAGATCTATTATGAAAGTAGATGATGATTGCATAATTATAGAGTTTTCTGAAATTTATATACCAGTTTTTCACTTTGAAAAATGCAAGGGTTTATTTGTAATAAAAATAAGTAACTCTACCTATGTGCAGGTATCTTTCGGTTCCCAACAATAAGAATAACATCACAGAGTTGCTGTTGCTTCAAGTAACTTTCCATCTTTCTGAAGGTCTGCTCAGCATGGTGGACGGCCTGGTAGAATTCTTCAGAGCTACTGGAGTCCAAGTCACTCTGAGGAGTCAGTGAGTGGCTGGTTGTGGACAGCCTGTAATATAAACACACAAAAAGATTTTATTTTAAAAGGTTACCAATTTCTCATATGTATATTTTACCATTTGCCCTTATTAGTTATCAGATTGTCAAATTCAGAAATGAACTTCTGAAAATTTTAATTTAAAGTATTTGCTTTAAATAGAAATACATGAATTGCAAATTTTATTTCTTGTGTTAAAACATTTCAACATATTCCATTTATGTTAATTTAGTAAACCTGAAAAAGTCAGGTTTATTATCTATGAACAGATATTAACACATTTAGTGTAAAGCCAACAATGGAATGTTAAAATCATTGAAGAAGATGGTGTATATGTGTACAATGGAATACTATTTAGTTATAAAAAGATAAAACCCTGTCGTTTTACAGCAACACGGATGACCTTTGAGGACATTGTCATGTGAAATTACTCAGGCTGAGAAAGTCAAGTACTGAATGATCTTACTCATAAGAGGAATATAAAAAAGTCCATTTAACAAAAACAGAAGGCAGAATGTTTGTTACCAGGAGCTAGAGAAAGTAGGAAGAGAAAAGGAATAGGAAGAGGTTGGTCAACAGGGATAAAATTATGTAAGATAGGAAAGTTCTAATTTTCTGTTATAGAATAGGGTGACTACAGTTACTAAGACTGTATTTTACTTTCCTAAATAGTTATCTAAGAGGATTTTGAGTGTTTTGCCACAAAGAATTAATAAATGTGTTGATGGATAAGCTAATTACCCTGATTTCATTTAAATATGTTTATATGTATGAAAACTACCCACATTGTTTCCCTATAAACTTATAAAACTTTAAATCCTTATATTATATATTAACTAATATTGACTTAAAGATAATTAACAAAGATTAAAAGTTCACTAAAAATACCAGGATAAAATACAATTAAAATTTCACTGCATAGTTAAGAAGCAAATAAATATTTCAAAGCTCATAAAAGACAAAACAAAAGAAAAATTTTGCTAATTTAATGAGTTCAACATTGAATTTATACAAAATTTGATAAGTGCATTATATCGTTCTGTCTGCTTAGTATATTAATATGTATCTGAACCTATATATTAGCAACTGAAACCAAAGTTATTAATGAAAACAGGAAAATTAATCTTAACTAATTTGAAATATTTAAGTCAAATTTAAATCCTATAAAGACCTAATACATATATTTTGCAAGTACCTACACCCTACATAGTTGAAATATTTACTGTGAAACATTTCTATAAAATATTTTGAGAAATACTTGTCAGCATAATATAAACAAAGATGAATAGAGCTGTTATTGTTAAATAACAAAACAACTGATACTATTTTCAGAAGCTAATTACTCACACAGAAATTCAAAAGAATCTACAGAGAAACTAATGAATCTGAACCCAATAAAATCATGTATATTCTGTTCTGTACATATATGTCTACACTGTATTGTTATTTTCATCACACTTTTAAATTTTTGGGTTTTTTTTGTTTTGTTTTGCCATTTTTTTGCTTTTTTTTTTTGCATTTTAGGGAAAGGTCTACAGGGTGTTCAGGGTCTCACTACTAGACCAAACTCCTAGTGATCTACCTGTTTACACCCACCCAAGAACTGGGATTACAGGCACTTACCACCACGCCCAGTCTCTTTCTTTTTTATTTTATTAACTTTATTGAAAATCCATAATTTCATATCATATTAAAAACTGTAGACAAATACTGAAATGTGAAAAATATAAGACACAGACAGTGATTTTTAGAGAAATATTTCTGAAATGAATACATCATATGAGATTAATAATAGATTGCATATTGTAAATAAATTACTTATAAACTTAAATGAATATAACAATAATAACTGTCCCTCAGCATGCCCCGGGGGTGGGGTCTGCAGGGCAGGCCTGGGGATTGAACCCTGGCCCCTGTGCCTGCAGGTGCTTTAATCTACTGAGCAATTTGGCCAACCCTAAATTTTCTTTTAAACATTTGAAAATACTACAAATTTTGTTTTGCCATTTGTTTCCCAGTCACAGATTTGTAAATTGCAACCTTAGGATATGTTTATTTCTAAAGATATATTTTAGGAACTCAGGTTGTAGCAAGAAGAGCAGAATTTTTCCACACATTATCATTATGATGAAAAAAGTCACAAAATGTACTGTAGTGTGTATTCTTAAATCAACATACTATTTATACTCAGGAACCTAGAGAAAACTGAGGAAGAACTGGGGATTAGCAGACAGATGAAGGCTGTCCCCAGAATAGCTCCTGATGTTTCTACTACAGTACCCAGAGTGCATGAACAGGATCCAAAAAGTCAAGAGAGTAGGGACAAACCTGCAAAATTCCTCCAGGTGAGTTTAAAAGAGGTTTGATATAGGAGCGCTATCATATTAGAATCTATAATTTAAATGGAGTATGTAGTGCAGAAATGGTTACACCCAGTAAGTGTTTCATAATTCAGAAAAAGTGATCAAGAATATAATTTCATATGCTTCAACTTCAAGGCATCCAAGTTGTAGTTATGCAATATTAAAATGAATAGTAAAAGAAACAAAATAATACAATTTTAACATCTGAGAACTTAAAAATAAAACAGCATGGTATTTAAGAGAATTAATTCAAAGTCAAAGGCTAATTTCTTTCAAGATTATACCTTCTTTAACCTACGTATACTAACCATTTAAATAAAATATTGATGTGATACTTTTCTAGAAAACATTTAAATAATTCAAAAGAATAAGCTTAAATAGAGAAAAATAGAAACTGGGTTCTAAAACTAATCTTTTTTGTGAATTCAAGTTTCTCTTACTTTTTCTGAAAGTTATTGTTTCCAGTTCACCCATATTATGTGAAAATAAGTCACTTTTAAATCCAATGTCATTTGCTCTGTCAGATAAATGGTTATCTTAGTTTGCCGGGGTTCTATATAATATGTTTTCTCATAAAGTTTTAGGATCTCAAACCTTGTTTAGATCCCCTGTCCTTCAATTTTGATTTGGGATGGGATTTCAAAATTTGTGTCTACATCATAACTCATAATTTTTATTTTTTTTTTATTTTTTTTTTATTTTTTTTTCAAAGTTTTATTGACAAACAGATAGCAATGAGACAGTTTCAAATCAAATCGGAAGGACAGTTTCAACAAATAATACACTGCATATATTCTTCTTAGTGGTTAATTGCTGTACAAGATGCGGACTTGTGATCCTGTTTACAAACACCATTAAAACAAATCATTCTATTCATTAAGAGAATGCAACTATATATCTATCCCAACCTCTTTGAATACACAGATACAAAATGGACATTCATCGGTATACCCCATTTTTTCTAAGTTCCGTTATTGAATATTATAGGTGTGTAAACTCAGCAAAATATTCTAAAAGAGTCCAGTAGCCTATAATAGCATTGGGTCTTATATTTAACTGGTAATGTCAGAAATTATTGACCTGAGTCCCCCACAGCTCAACTTAACAGCATGGCTTTATTTCTTATATTTCGACTTCATACTTTTCTACTGGATGGTTAAGACCAAGGTAAAGCAGGACCTATGCAACAAGAGTTGTAGCTTTTTGGTCTGAGAAGGTCAGTGAAATGCCCTCAGGATTTGTCCTGAGATCCTGTACCTCAGATTGTAGAACCTTTATCAGTGCAGCCATGTGGATGAGTCATGGCCATCGCTTGGCCAATGTGCTCTCTGTGAAAGCCTGAGAGAGTATCTTCTCCCCATTGACTCTCCTTAGGCACACTCTACGTCATCGATCACTTTCCTCTTTGTCCCCATAATCTTCTTGATCAGAAAATTTGGGACACTACCGAGGTACATGACGTTACAGTACAAGTTCTCATATGTCCTGAGTCTTAATTGACCTTAGAAGGTTAGGGCCAAAATGTTGGCTTTCCTTGCATCCTTCCTTTTTCTCTAATTTGGTCTGCAAACTTAGGTTGTTAACCATCCAGAAGAAAAGCTTATTGTTATTATCAAACGATTTGGGCTATCAATCTTAACATCACTATCTCACTGCATTTCAAACATCTTAGGCATAATAAGGAACAGGTATTTTTCATCAAGTATTGATATGTTGAACTTTAAGTCCCTACATAATATGATAAAAAACATTTAAAAATTAGATTATATTTTAAAAAATAGGATAAAGAATTCTATGCTTCTCATGTTTGCACATAAGTCCAAAAATCTCACCATATACAACCTTGAAGCAGGACAGTCCCACAATATTACATCATAACTCATAATTTTTAGTCTAAGCTTTTTTATTCCATTCATATTGCATAAAATACCCAGCCTTTCTCATTTAACACATAAGAGCTTAAAAGTTTAATAAACATGGATTGTATCTTTAGCAATGGTTCTCCAGTAGTAGTAAAAACTCTAGTATTGGATTATCCTGTTATTCCCTGATGTTTAATATAGTACCCTTACAAGTATTTATATTTATGGTCTCTTTCCAAAGAGTGACTTAAATATTATGATTTTAGAGCCTAATTTTTTCTTCCTTATTATGACCAAATAATATAAAACTTGTAGTTATAAGAAAATAAAATTTTGAAACTGCATTGTGGCTACTTCGTATAAAAATGTAAATATGCTCAAGTCTGTCCCAGCCTAATATTTTACTTTCTGCTTACATAAAAAAGTACATGAGGCAAACAATTAAAAGGAGGAAATACTTATTTAGGTTCACGATTTCACAGGGGCTAGTCCATGGTTGACTGGGTTCTTTGTTGTAGGGTTAGGGAAAGGATGAATATTATGACTGAAAAAGACCATGAGGAAAAGCTATTTATTCTTTGCAGCCTAGACACAAGGACAGAGGGTAAAACCCTGAGAGGATGAGCAGGCGATCAGTATAGTCCCCAAAGTCATGCTCCCATGATCCTCTCTCTTCAAGGGGCCCTACCATCTGTTCCTATCAATTCCCCCAAAATTCATCAAATTATGGTCTCCTCAGTGGGTTAATTTAAGAGCTAAGCTTAAAGCCCTCAGGATCTAATCACTT